TACCTGCGAGGCGGTGGCCCCAGCCTCACGCCATCCCCGCGCCAGCCTCTAGCTGAGCGCGACGCGGCGCGCAGCCCTCCTCTGCACCCTCGCCGGCTCCTTGCACCGCGACCTGCTCCGAGAGCCTCGGCTTTGGCGAGCTCGGTTCGAGGCCCGCTCGGCCACCTGATGCGCGCCACACACGACTCCATTTCTCTTGCTTCAGCTTCTCCCTCGCCTTCCACTCTGAAGCTTCACCTTTCCCCGCCCATCCCCCCGGGGACCGCGAGGCTCCCTTGGGGGACGGGAAGGAAACTCTCCTCGAGCTCCTCTTTCCACCTTGGAGGCCCAGACTACCCATTTCCACCTTGAGAACCCCCTTTGACTCTCCTTAATGACCCTTCTCCAGTCCTCCCCGCCAGAGGCTGTGGCGTGGACACCCCCGTGTAGCTCAAGTCAGCGCACAGGCCCCTGCCTGACAACTCTCCCAATATCTGGGGGAGACCGATCGGCTCTCCGGATGAAATTGGATTCATTCTCGGAAATCTAAGCCGTTTCGCAATCACAGATTTGCTCAGTCCCAACGCATCAGCAAGCAGCCTTCTGTTGTTGCCTTTTTTTTTTTTTTTTTTGGCTCAGAATAATGACTGAAGTTTCTTTGTTGGCAGAGTTGTTTTATTTGAACTCTGTCGAGCTACCCTTGGCAGTCTCAATAACCCTGTGCTGTAGCCCAGACGAAAGCGGGAGTTTGGAAAGATCCTAAGTTTGGTCCCTTCCTTTCCTGGGTATTTCCACCGGCTATTGATGGGCTAACAGTCTGCACGGGAGCAGGCCTTACGGAGGAAGGGCCGTCTCTACCCTTTAGAATCCTAATCCGGCCGCCCTTTTTAGTGTCACGGGGTGGGGGGAGGGGAGCGGAAGAAAGGATAGAGAGAAGGGGGGAAAATAATTAAAACCAAGCCCTGCACACATCTGCAACCCAGAGCAGTACTTTTCCATCAAGAGTTCTGTTCGCTTGCACATAATTTACTCCCCCTCTCAACACGCAAGAGATTTGAGAGAATTGGCGTCTTACCTCAGAATTCTAAAAATTTCTGGCACCAACTGCTTCCATCCCTGCCCCCACCCCATCTTCTTAAATCCTTTAAAAGTACGTATGAGCGGAATAATCCTTAAATCGGGCCCACACATTTTTCCCCCCACAGATCTAAATTTAGGGTTAGCTGAAATGGCCCTCACAGATCTTTTGTCAAACCTCTTCCATGTAATCAAGGGAAAACAGGCTTAAACTGAGGGCCCAAGGCCGGAGTTACACTCTAATTATCTTTTGTTTTAAAAGTCTATGGCCAAGATATTTTTAAAAACCAACAAACTTGTGAAATATATTTTCATCTAATGATAGAGAAAGGGTTAATACCTTGTAAGAGCTCATTTTCATTGATAAGAAGATCCAGAAGATGCTAGTCAATAAATGGGCAAAAATGGAAATAGGTAGTCCACAGAAGAGGGGCTACCAATGGTGAGTAAGCATAGGAAAAATGTTCAGTCTTACTGGCAATGGAAAATGGAGATACTCTTGTCACATACCACCTTCCTGTCAGAAAGATGCAGCAACCAAAAAAGGATGATCTACAAGGCTGGCCCGAGAGTGATGAGACTCTTGTACACTGTTGGGAGTAGAAATTGATATAATCTTTGTCATTCATAGAAATACTTTCTGTCCATTAATCCCACTTCTAGAAATCTACTTTTTGGTCCAGTTCTTTGACCTCTAGGAATCCATGCCAAGGAAACACTTAGAAATGCAAAGATTTCATTACTAAGATGCTTATCAGAAAAACTTTTTTTTTTTTTTTTTTTTTTAAGTAGCGAGCTCTATGCCCAATGTGGGGCTCGAACTCATAACCTCGAGATCCAGAGTTGCATGTTCTGACTGAGCTAGCCAGGTGCCCCAGAAAATCACTTTTAATATGAGAAAATTGGAAACAACCTAAATGTTAAACTTTAAGAAATAGCTAATTAATCCACTTGAAATGTGACAAAACCACAAAATATTATTATGACATGGGAAAATGCTTATGTCTTAAGAGAGAAAAACAGGATACGAAACTATGCAGTATGAAAACTCAACTATGTAAAAAAACATGCATTAAAAGGAAGCCTAAATGGAAACATGCTAAAATGTTAACTGTTGTGATTGTTAGTTTCTTTGTACTTTTCTACGTTTTCTGCAATGAGCACATGTCACTTTTAGCCTCAGGAGGGAAAAAAAATGATTTATTATTACTTTTGTGAAAAAAATGTGGAACGGTAATACATGCTCATTGTAACAAACTTAAACAATATGTAAGTGCATAAAAGAAAAAATGAAATTCATTCTCTCTCTCCCAGCTCCCCAGGCAATCTTTAAATGGGGCCCACACATTAGTAGGTTGGTTTATATTCTTGCAGACATGGGAAACACACACACACACAGATTTTGTTTTACAAAACTGGGGAAATTTAAAAATTATAAATGGTTTACCAGGTTTTTTTTTCTAATGAAGAGAGATACAAAGTAAAAACTAAGAATAACTCATTAGCTCCCACCCAGATAACACATATTGAAATTTTTTTAAAGTCATATTTGTCATAAAATTCAAACTATGGAAAGACACAAAAGGTAAATTAAAGTCCTTCTCTTCAGCCCTGATTCTCTCTCCTCAAAAATAAGCACTATTGGGAGTGGGGGAAATGTCAAACACAGAAATACAATACTGTGTGATATCTTTTATATGTGGAATCTAAAAACAGACACTGAACTCAAAAAAACAGTGGAATGATGGTGACCAAGGGCTGGGGGTGGGGGAAGGGGAGAGATGTTGTTTAAGGGTGCATACTTGCAACTAGTAGATAAATAAGTCCTGAAGAGCTAATGTACAGTACAGTGATTATAGACAACAAAACTGTATCTTAAACATTAAACTTGCTAAGAGACTGGATATTAATTGTGCCCACCACTAGAAGAAATGATAATTACATGATGAGACAGAGGTGTTAGCTAATGTTACAATAACAATTGTATTACGATATAAATGTATCAAATGTACACCTGAAACTTACACAATGCTGTATGTTATCTCACTTATGCTTTATCTTTTTTTTTTAATTTGAGAGAATGGGGGGTGGAGAGCAGAGGGAGAGGGAGAGAGAGAATCTCAAGCAGACTTCCCGCTGGGTCTAGAGCCTGATGTGGAGCTCGAGCCCACAACCCTGAGATCATGATCTGAGCTGAAATCAAGAGTCAGACACTTAACCCACTGAGCCACCCAGGCACCGCTATATTTTATCTTTTTTTTTTTTAAAGATTTTTTATTTATCCATTTGACAGAGAGAGACATAGCGAGAGAGGGAACACAAGCAGGGGGAGTGGGAGAGGGAGAAGCAGGCTTCCCGCTGAGCAGGGAGCCCGATGCGGGGCTCCATCCCAGGACCCTGGGACCATGACCCAAGCCGAAGGCAGACGCCCAATGACTGAGCCACCCAGGCGCCCTATATTTTATCTTAATAAAAAGTGGGGGATATGCCTTTATGGAGGGCTGGGGAATTTCTAATTTTCTTCCCCCACACAGAGGGTAGAAAAGTTGTACAACTTGAAACCCCAAGCAGTGATACAGTTTGAAAATATAAATGCTCTCAAAACATATTTGATATTAAGGTGGGCTCTTAAATAACCCTGGGATGTTGAGATTGTTGAGGAAAAGCATCACCTCCACCTCCCCGCGCGCCCCCCCCCGCCCCACCTCATTCTGGCTTATAGTTGGTGAAAAGGTCCAGAGTTCTCAAATTCTGTGGAAATTGGAAGGGAGCTCCTGACTAAAAAGCCCTCTCCAGAACATGAGAGTTGTGTTATATGTGCTCTTTGGCTTCAGATCAATTTCTAAAGCTTATGTACTAGACCTGAGGGCTACTTATATCACAAGATATATATTAAGTCTGTTGATGTTTCCAAACTCCTGCCTCCTTTAAATTATTTTCAAAGGTTTTCAAAAGCTTTTAAAGAAAAATAGGACAATTGGTTGATTAGCTAGAAAATGTGTGGGAAGTAATTCAACTTCACTAGTAATCAAATCCAAAAGAACATAATAACAACGTACCACTTTTCATCATTCAAATTACTGGAGCATTCTGTTTTGCCTTTTGTTTCTTGAAGCTTTTTAAGAATGGTAATTCTTGGTGTTGGCAAGCATACAGCAAAGGCAAGCACTCTGACACAATGCTGGCAAGAGTGAAATTGCTAGAATGAAAGATTCGTTTTGTTCACCGGTGTATTTCAAGCCCCTAGACCATGTATGCCTCAATAAAGTGGTAGGCACTCAATATTGTTGAACTAAATTATATTTTAAGTGAGTATAGACTTTCTAGAAAGCCCTTTTGGCAATATGCAGCAAGAGCCCATTATTCCTAACCTGTGACCAAGGAATTTAACTTCTAGAACTTTTTCTTAGGGAAGTGCTCAGAGATATGAACAGAGGTTTGTATAGAAAAATCACAGGGGTGCCTGGGTGGCTCACTCGGTGAAGCGTCTGCCTAAGGCTCAGGTCATAATCTCGGGGTCCTGGGATGGAGCCCGAGTCGGGCTCCCTGCTCAGCCCGGGAGTCTGCTTCTCCCTCTCCTCCCTGCTCGTGCTCTCTCTTGCTATCTCTGTCTCTCTCTCTCAAATAAATAAATAAAATCTTAAAAAAAAAAAAAAAGCAGAAAGGAAAAATCACAAAACATGATCATGACCTGAGCCTTAGGCAGACGCTTCACCGAGGAATTGGAAACCGTACTTGTGA